GCTGCCGGGGCCGATGGAGAGGTGGCCGTGGGATCAGTCCTGTGTTCCATCACGGAAACTCCAATTTGACGACCACTGCAAAGCTCCGTTGTATGGCGCTTTGTAACCCAGCACGTTCACCACTTTGTTACGGGGATTACAAGCACACGGAAGAAAGAAATGGGTGTATTACCAATATTTACAAGTAGGTGAGAACAACCAGGGCTGCCAGCCTTTTGCGCGCTCAGTCCGCTTCTTCCTCTTCGATTAGTCTACGACGGTGGGGCCTTGCCCACTGCCTCGTAACAATATATAGGTGCAAAACTTACCTCCAAATGGTAGAATCACAGTTGACAAAATCCATGTCCCACAATCGGCACTCAATCCAACACATCACAGTTGACATAATCCATGTCCGACGATCGGTGCTCAATCCAACACATTGCACACAGTACAGCAGAAAAACCACTCGAGCACACTGTTGTCACTCGTAGCACTTTCTAGAGATAAAACTGAACTATTTCATTCAACCGCCACTCTGGTATTTCTCAAGAAAAATGACTAGACCAGCGTACAGCGAGCGCGCACATGTGCAACTTGCTCCTCGACTAGCTGCCATTTGTTGTACGAAACTGCGGTCATGCTGCAGTGGCTAATAATGATTTATTCAGTTAACTGGACTACTGCCTGGTATGATGCTACCTTTAAAAAAAGAATATTACTTTGGTTATGCACTATTAGTAATAAATAGTGGGTTATTATTTGAAAATAGCATTAGAATGCACTGAGAAATGATACGACAATACGCCACTGAGATGTCTACAAAATCGCGACAGTGCATCTTTTTTCGTGGTTCCTGGCTGGGGCATTGGAGAGAGCATGCTAGCGTGACTTATCAATTGTTAATTATTAATATTAATTTTTATTGATCAATATTAATATTTTTAATTTAATAATAATAATAATAATAATAATAATAATAATAATAATAATAATAATAATAATAATAATAATTAATATTAGATTGTGGCAGTCAATGGTGAATTTAAGAGTAAAGTACCTTTTCACAAGAAAGAAACTGGTATTGTTTAAACACTAGATTTAGCTGCAGCGGCTTAATGAGCAACTGAGCAATCACCTGGTTCAATGTCTACTGTTGTAGCATTTTGCAGTGTCGTGTTCGCCGGGTGCACGGCTATAAGGTCAAATAAAAGTAGGTCCGGCCCCGCCCTGGATTTAATTACTAGCTGTACGGGGTGCCTAAAATCACAGTGAATAAATGTGTGCCATATGATCTTGGTCTTCGGTAGGATTTTTTTTTTTTTGGAGAGGGGGGATGCAAACTCGTGTTGCACCACTGCCAGGGGAGGGAAAGAGCACCGGTGTAGCTTGGATGGGGGCAAATGTTGGTGTTTTGAAAAAGCAAATGCACAGCCTGCATTTCCAAGAGGTCACTTTTCATTGCCTCTAGGACAAAAAAGTTGAGTTGTGGTATTCGATTTGTAAGGTGTGGGACTTTAGGTAGCAAAAATCTGGAAAAAAAAACTCTACTTACATTCGAGTCAACGCGGTAAACACCTAATCTGTCCCTCGTATGTAAAGCATTTTTTTTTTGTCTGGCTCGAATTTCATTCAATTAATTTATTCAACCTTAATGAGCACGAAGGCATTACATAAGGGAGGGTTGTACGTCTAAGTTGTAAGTTTCTAAGCAATGTTACAATATGAGGGTACACACTAATTACAATGAATAAGCAAATAAAGAACACAAGCGGAAATAACTAGCATAACAAAACATAAAAAAATATGATAGTCAATAAATAAATTGTAGGAGTACAGTAAAACAAGTATAAACGCAAGAGTTAATGTGCTGTTAGGACATCGCATTCGGATTTGGTAAAAGAGTTAGTTTTTTGCGAAATGTTGATCGGTCCCTGCAAGAAACAATATTATCTGGCAGTGCATTCCTGAGTGTTACGGCATGGGGGGAAAATGAGCTGCTCATCACTGTCGTCCGGTATTTTATGGTCATCAGAGGGTGCGTATGGGACAGACGAGATGACGTTCTTAATGGGTGTTTTACGGGACGGTGTCCCGACCTGCTAAAGTAAAAGAATGTGTGAAGGAGGTAGATACAAGAAGTTATGTGACCTAAAGCGAGCGATGCGAGTGACGTTTGTTTTAGTGCGGTTACGCTGATATGCTTTGCATATTTTGACGTAATGAAACGAGCTGTGCGATTTTGAACGGCTTCCAAATCATCGGTGAGATAAGCTTGTGAAGGATGCCATATGGATGACGCATACTCGTGTTTTGGTCGCATGTATGTCAGATATGCGATTTTCTATATGTCAGGAGATGCAGATCGCAAGTTACGTCCTAAGTAGCCTAATGTGTGGGAAGCTTCAGAACGAATGGTTTCAACGTGTTTCACCCATGATAGTGATGATGTCGGATGAACTTCTAAATACTTGTAAGTGCGCGTGTGATCAATGGGAACCGAATTAATGGAGTAGGTCTCATGTGAGGTGTTGTGCTACGTGTGAAGGACATGACCTTGCAATTAGTGAGGTTTAGGGGCATATGCCATTTTTCACACCATGAAGTAATGGTGTCAAGGTTGTGTTGTAGGGTGATTGCGTCATTATAGGAGTGAAGGGGGTTATAAAAAACGCATTCATCTGCAAATAGGCGCAGCTGTGATTTAATGTTACTAGGAAGGCCATTCACGTATATAAGAAATAATAGAGGTGATAAGCCGGCGCCCTGGGGAACACCGGAAGTGACGCTGGTAAGGGTTGATTGGAAATTGTTAGCAACGGTAAACTGAGTGCGCCCTGTTAAAAATGCTTGAGTCATTTTATAAGGTATGGGGGATACCAAGAGCAGATAATTTGATGAGCAGGTGCTTGTGGGGTATGCGATCGAAGGCCTTGGAGAAATCTAAGAAAATTGCATCTATTTGTACGTGATCATCCATTTGCAGTAGTATGTCATTAGTAAAATCAGCCAGTTGGGTTTTCCAGGAAAGATACTTTCGGAAACAATGTTGTAGAGGGTAGAAAAAACTGATTTATTCTAGGCAGGTCATAAGAGTTGATGCTATAATATGCTCAAAGATTTTAGATGGAACACAAGCTAAGCTAATCGGGCGATAGTTAACGGGGCTTTCGCGCCGGCCTGCTTTAAAAATGGGGACTATTTCGGCTTTCTTCCAATCATCTGGCAAGGTTCCTGTGTTTAAAGATTGGTTAAGTATAAGGTACAAAAATTTGCTAGAGAGTGCTATAATATTTTTTAATAATTTAGAATTGATGTCGTCGCAGCCAGCCGAGGATGATACTTTAAGAGAGTGGATTAGGTTGCATACGCCATCCAGGTTTACTTGTATTTCAGGCATGGTCTGGGAAGAGAAGTCTGGTATAGGTTCGACAAGGCAGGTATTGGGTATGTGAAATACGGACGTGAAAAAGGTATTTAGAGCAGCAGTGGTTTTCTCAGAGATTATCGGTTCATCATAAGAGTTAACAAGATTTATATGGTTAGTTTACGGCTTCGCAGATATTATACGCCAGAATTTATTTGGGTTTGAACGAAGAACCATAATCAGGCTAGCAGAAAAAAATTTATCCTTGGCCGCAATAACTGCCTTTTTGTACTGAAGTTCACACAGGCGGTGGCGATTCCATGCTTCTGGGCTATTTTTGCATTGCACTGTTCTATATAGACGTTTTTTTCGCGTAAGCAATGATTTTAGACTTTTATTGAACCATGGGTTATTGAAGTCGGACTTCACAATTATGGTAGGGATATATTTTGTTTTTCAGTAAAACTCATTACTGAGCAAAACTCAGTAGTGAGTTTTGCTCAGTTTTGTCAAACGACCACTCTTAAACAGGAAAATCTCATACTACTCGAGCAAATTATTTCCCAACTGCAAGATGGAAAAATTTTCTGCTGGAAATATAACTTCCAGACTTGGACTGGAAAACTTCAAACTGGAAATGAAATGATTCCTGACTGGAAAGTCATTTCCAGCTTGAAATACAGCTTCCAAACTGTGACTGGAAAGCTTCAAGCTGGAAATGGCTTTCCAGTTAGGAATCATTTCCATTTACAGCCTGCAAATACCATTCCCAGCCTGGGATAAGATTAATCCTGTGGGAATCGAGGCGAGTCCGCCGCCTTTGCGCGGGCTTCGTTGCCTCTTTCTTCGTTCTCATGTCCCAACATGACTCCCCTCCTCCGTGGTCTGTCGCGCTAGGAGAGCGGGGAGTGACGCTTAACCCCTCTCACACAGTAGCGGATGTCGACTGTGACGCCGCGTGCAAAATCTCCCAAGAGGTTTCGCGCGTGCGTGTTGGGAGCGAGAGATATCTCTCTGGGGACGACATGGGGGTAAGCACGCTTTTCTTTTGCGTCCATCAGCCACCTTTGTGTGGAGCTCGTTTGTACTTCGCCAACAGCGCCTTGCGCCCGCGGCGAACGCTTACCTTATGTCGCCCCCCTTCCGTACGCTAGTCCGAAGAGAAGTATGGTGTCCTAGTGCGTAGCCAAGCTACGCCGACCTGTATCTCTCTGAAGCCAACGTGAGCGCCGTTGCCCTCGCTCGAGCTACCGGACCTTTTGTCCAGGTGTCACCATGAATCATTTTTGCCACCGAGACCTGCTTGCGGCACCCCTGTGTAGTACTTTTCGCCTGTGGCATAGATAAGCCCATTTGCTTTCCCGCTGCACCTTTGCTGTACTGCGTTTTGGTGTTGCCACAGACAATAAAGTGTTGCGACTTTGGGCAGCCTGTGCTCGCGAATTTTCATCTGTTCAAACTATTAACTTCCTCTGAATTTCTGCTTTCCATTCATGATGAGTGTTTTGTTATGCTGCTTGTTTGCAGAACAATTTTGGTGCCATTTAATAAAATGTCACATGTCCTTTAATAGCTTTCAAGACTTGGCTGAAATTCAAGACTTAGATGAAATGAAGTCATATCTATAGCAAACGACCAATGTTTTCCCTGACAGTTGCCGAGCGTGTACCATTGGCAGTGTTTGCCATGGGCCATGTCAAGAGGATCCGGCTTCTGGCCATGCTCAGTGGACTGAGACTGGAGGCTGAGCTGTCGGGATTGCAGGCTAGTGGCACACACAAGGTAATCATAGGTGAATGCTTTTGAGCGATTGTTCTTGCCTCTGAAACAACCCCTGTAGCCAGATACATTAAAAAAGTGCGTCAGTGGCATAACCCGAAATTGTTTTTGATGTGGAAGGTGCTTGCACATGTCTTTCTGTACATTCTGAAACCAATGAGTGCTCGGAAGACAAAGACAATGAAGACAACATTCAACTTCAAAGCGATATGTATCCAACACAAACACGCCATGTAGGTACAGTAGAATTCTTATGGTACGAATTCAGAAGGAGCACGCAAAATATTTGTATCTTCTCGACTTCATATTAACCAAAAACAAGTTGAAGCTGATCATGAAGTTGAGCTTTATTTGGGTCAACTACTTCTTGCTGAAAGAAGTTCATGACGTTCTTTTAAACTTTTCTGCCTTCACCATCTCTCAATAAAGTGCCGCAGTTTCCTCTCTCATGCTGCTGACTCTCAAAGGCACGGTCACACTTGACATCAAAGGGAGTGAAAGCAGCAAAACTCATTGAAAATTCACTCGCTTCGCTGCTTAAGCTGCCGGAAAACTGCGTCGCGCACACGACACTAACAAAAAAATCAGTCCTGGAGAATTCGCACTGGGCAACTAGAGCGGAAATGCCAGAGCATCTGGAAAACAGTGTCGCTTGAGAATTTATTCTATTTTGCCCATTTCCTAAGCATTGAAATTCGTACAAAGTTCTAGTTATGCTTACAAAGCACTAAAAAGAAACAATTTACACCTTTATAAACATTGTTTTGTAAGATATGGCAGCAGAAACAACACGAGCAGACGCACTGGCAGCATTGGCAACAGATTCAGCCTGCAGCGCAAAAGCGAGACGCGCGAGGGCCTGCCGACTCGCTGCTGCTGCACCTTTTTCTACTTTCAGTGTTCTCAGGGATCGTAATCCAAACCAGGCTCTCTATGAACGTGTCCTTGTAAAGACCGTGTGCTTTGACGTGCTCTATAGGTAGTTCGCAGTAGCGCTGACACAATCCACCGCCAACGCTTTTACCACCATGTTGAATTTGTGGCTGCTTGTTTACATCACATGGTTTTAGAGCTGCTGCAGGGGTTGTAGCCAAAGTTGTGAAGCAAAAGGACGATCTGCTATCTCGTGGCAGGAAAATTGGTCTAGGACCGATTTTTTTTGCGTCGACCTCATCTAGAGTCTTCCAGTAACTTAAAGAGCGAGAGAAATTTTGGGAAGTTTTGCCGCATTCACTCTCTTTAAGGCCAAGTGTGAACAGGCCTACCTCCCACAGACAAGCCACGTTGCGCCGCTCCGAACGTCAATCGCATGTTCGTATCATCCATGGTGGCTGGGGAAACCGTTAGTTTAACAACGAATTACAGCATATTTTGTATAATGTAGTTCATCTGAAACAGCCTTAAAATTCGTATCATAATTAAAATCACATCAACAATAATCGTATCACCGAGATTCTTCTGTAGCTTTTTCAGTCATCACGTGGTAACAGCTCATGCTTGAGCGCTAGGCTACCGAATGTTTATGCTTTTGACAGCAAAAGCTGTTTGGCACCATAGTTGTCTGCCGCTGCTGGTGTTCACCACTGCTATCGCACAAAATAAGAAAATAAAGGAATAAAAAAGTATACATGATGGAGTGGCGTCATTAATCGATATGTGGTGTTTAACGTCCCAAAACCAGCATATGATTATCAGAGACGTCGTAGTGGAGGGCTTCAAAAGTTTCGACCACCTGGGGTTCTTTAACGTGCACCCAAATCTGAACACCTGGGCCTACGACATTTTCGCCTCCATCGAAAATGCAGCCGCCGCAGCCGGGATCTGATCTCGCGACCTGCAGGTTAGCAGCCGAGTACCTTAGCCACTAGATCACCGTGGCAGGGCTGATGGAGGGGTGTCGAAACCCAGGCTATCTGTGTGGCAGCCCAGAATTCCACCCCAGAGCAATGCCAGTGCTTGAAACTCCTTTGCAAACAAAGTCTATTCAAATTTTTTATCGGGGAAGTGATCATGTTAACACGTGTAATAAAATGTTTTTGAAAAGTAAACTAACAACCGTTCATCCGACAAAGTGAATTGCTTAACAAGTGAATCGTTGAATGTTTTTAACTCATTTCAATCGGCTCAGCCATAATTATTTATTGTTGTGATCCATGAAAGAAAAAAAAAAGTCACATAGTGCCTTCAGGTGGTTAGCGGGTACCATGCTTCTCCAAAGAATAACGAATAATGGCAGAGTGGACGCTTTCCCGCATCACTATAATTATGACTTTTGGCATAGCGGGTACCATGCAAGTGTACTTGTAGTACAGTATAGACCACTTATAATGCAAGTTGCGGGAGTCACAAATGTCTTAACAATTGCGCAAAACGTGTTAGCCATGCAGCTTGTGTGTTCGAGAATCGAAGTCCACAGTGCATGGTGCTTACATCTATTTAAATTTTCACGTGGAAAAAAATTTAAAGGGACACTGACACAAAAATTTTGTAGGCGAGACAGGAAGTGAGGTAAATTTATCTAGAGACATACACAACATCTACAACAAGGGTAAATACTAAAGCTGTGGAATTGCAAAATTTTGGGTGCAAAGCAAATTGGAATACTGAAGCATAAGTGAGCATCAAATCGAACATCTTTATAATATTTCTTAAACACTTCTGGAATATTTTTCTTGTAGTTTGAAGTGAGATGGGAGTGGGGAGGAACAGTTGGAAGAGATATTTAAGTGAATTTTTATGATTTATAGCAACATGAAAGTGCTTTTTTTTGCTAAGTTTAAGTGCTCATGGGGTGGTATTGTAGTTCTATCAAGAATGAGGCAATGCAGAGGCCGAATTGTATTAGTACATGATTTGGTGCAACTAAAGTGTTGCCAACAACACTTTACACCTGAAAAAAAATGATGCTGTTTTCTCAGCCTCTCCTCTTTAGACATCACCATACTAGAATAGTATTAAGGCCGTAACCTTAATACTATAAGAACTAGCAGTAACCCAGATGACACCCCACCAGTAATTGTAGAAGAAGTCAGAAAAGCCTTGGAGGCAAAGCTGCTGGTGAGGATCAGGTAACATCAGATTTGCTGAAAGATGGAGGACAGATTGTGTTAGAAAAACTAGCCACCCTGTTTACAAGTCTCCTGACGGGAAGAGTACCAGAGTCTTAGAAGAATGCTAACATCATCTTAATACATAAGAAAGGAGATGACAAGGACTTGAAGAATTACAGGCTGATCAGCTTGCTCTCCGTAACATACAAGCTATTTACAAAAGTAATTGCTAACAGAGTTAAGAAAACATTGGAATTCAATCAACCAAAGGAACAAGCAGGATTTGGAACAGGCTACTCAACAATCGACCGCATTCATACTATCAATCAGGTGGTAGAGAAATGCTCAGAATATAACCAACCACTATGCAAAGCCTTCATATATTACGAGAAGGTGTTTGATTCAGTAGAAATATCAGCAGTCATGCAGACACTGCAGAATCAAGGTGTCGATAAAGCATATATAAACATCCTGGAAGAAATCTGCAGGGGATCAACTGCTATCATAGTGCTTCATAAAAAAAGCAACAGAATACCAATCAAGAAGGGTGTAAGGCGAAGGAATGCAATCTCCCCAATGCTATTTACCGCGTGCTTACAGGAGGTTTTCAGAGGCCTAGAACGGGAACAGTTAGGGACGAGAGTTAATGGAGAGTACCTTAGTAACCAGCACTTCGCTGATGACATTGCATTGCTGAGTAACTGAGGGGACGAATTGCAACTCATGATTACGGAGTTAGACAAAGAGAGCAGAAAGGTGGGTCTTAAAATTAATCTGCAGAAAACGAAAGCAATGTAGTACAACAACCTCGGAAGAAAGCAGCACTTTAAGATAGGTTATAGTCCACTTGAAGTTGTAAAAGACTATATCTACTTAGGGCAGGTAATAACCGCGGAGCCGAACCACGAGATTGAAGTAACTAGAAGAATAAAAATAAGATGGAACACATTTGGCAAGCACTCTCAAATTATGACGGGTAGATTGCCACTATCCCTCAAGAGGAAGGTATATAACAGCTGTATCCTAGCTACAGAGCAGAAACATGGAGACTTACAAAGAGGGTTCAGCTTAGGTTGAGGACGACGCAGTGAGCAATGGAAAGAAAAATGGTAGGTGTAACCTTAAGAGACAAGAAAAGAGCAGAGTGGATTAGGTAACAAACGGGTGTTAAGGATATAATAGTTGAAATCAAGAAGAGGAAATGGACATGGGCCGGGCATGTAGCATATAGACAGGACAATCGCTGGTCATTAAGGGTAACTAATTGGATTCCCAGAGAAGGCAAGAGGATTAGGGGGAGACAGAAGGTTAGGTGGGCAGATGAGATTAAGAAGTTTGCGGGTATAAATTGGCAGCAGCAAGCACAGGACCGAGTTAACTGGCGAAACGTGGGAGAGGCCTTTGTCATGCAGTGGATGTAGTCAGGCTGATGATGATGATCATGGTGGTACTAGAATATTGGAAATTTTCTATGCTAAAAATCTTTGCGTCCAATTTACTGGACCTGCTGCCCAAATATCAGGTTTTCTTGAGTCAATACATTTGCGTCTGCAGCGGAAGCTGCCTCAGTATGGAAGTGTGCTAAGGTGAAGCTTGTGAAAAATTTTGAAGGGGTAATTTTATTTTCACGTTTACTGTATCTACCTTGACACTTTTGTAGCATAGCCTGAAAGGCAGCTCTGTTGCAAGATAAAAATGTGATGAGGTGAAGTGTATTGAAGATTCCAAGGGGTCACTTTTCATCTCACGTTGACTGCATTTGTCCTTGGGAAGTAATTGAATAGTTAGAATAATAAAAATTCCAGTCAAAATCAAATCAAATGGCAAACACTATTAAAAAATATTCCAAAGTTTGATTTTATGCACACTGCTAGTAAATAATGCCTAGAATATATTTAAAATCAATTTTAAAGTGCATGCTGCATGACTGAGAGAGATGCGGAACCCTTCGCG